GGGGGATGAGGGGCATTATTTTTCACAATGAATTGTGAAAGCTGGGAAAAAATTTCAAATGTTTGAATTACGAGTTTGCAGCTATCCAAACCCGACTGTAATTTCCGTCATTACCTATCTGACGTAACAACCATAGGCTCTTCATCAGGAACGAATGTTAATCTCATATTTATCTTGGAAAATACTGAGCCAGAGTGGCTCAAATTCCGGCTATTAGATTGATTCGTGACATGAAGAAGAAAGTGATGTAAAACAGGAAACGCAACCAAAAAATAGCATTGCCATCAACATATTTTAGCGCCTTGTAGCGAGAAATAATTTGAACAATGTTTTTCTAACATTGTGTTTTTTTTTTAAAAAAATGGGGGATGTCAAAACGTAGCACTTCAGAGCTTCCGTTTTTCTTTTTTTTCTTTCTCGGAGATTTGGAGGAATATGTCACAGTCCTCTAGAGACTTGTGTCCTCCGGGATTACAAGACTTGCCTCACTGCTCTGATAAATGTCTGCCTACAGCCCTGAAATATTCTTGTTATCACTGTGTCTGAAATAAGCTACGACATTTATGAATACTTTATCTAATACTTCTAATGCATTTATGAAAACTTTATCTAATTGATTTTTCAAATACTACTTAGGCGAAGGTGGAGATTTGACTTTGTTCATGACTGGAAAAAAACTACGTCCTAGAACTGAACCTTTGTACAGTGGAGGGAACAGGAGAGATTTTCCGATTACTACTGGATATGACGCCGTTGACAGCTTTGATTTTATCAAAAGCCATGTGTCCAAATCTCAAAACATTTTGGTCTGCCAAAGTTTCTATAATGGACGCTTCAGTGGGTGTTTTGCTTCTTCAAAAAGGTACAGCCCTAGGCTGGTCGCTTTCTGGGCGATTCTAAAGGACTATGACTCTTTTCTTAAATTGGTCAAAGAAAGTGAGGATCGGGTAAATGGAAATTCAAAACAAATATATTCGCTTGCATGTGATGAGAATTTAGGATTTGCAGTATTTCGCATGGGCAAATATGGCACAGCTCAAGCAATTGTTACGAACTTACCTGATATAGACAAGAAATGGGAAGATAGCTTTGAGATCACTTCATGTGCCGCCCGGGGTTCAACATTCTACATTGTTATGACAAAGGGCACAGAGGAATACAGGGACAAACAACAAAAGTGGTTCACTTGTAATACATGGAACGAGATGTGCGATGAAATAAATGAGCAGATCAAAGTAGGATACACTGTGACAGGGATATGTTATTGCACTGGACTGAGGCAGTATTTTGTTGTCACGACAAAGATACCTGAGGTCAAGAGCAGCCACTATTTTGATGACACAACTGCAGTTCTCAACTGGATGGATGAGCAACATCTTGTGGGATATCATCCAACAGTCATCTTCACTGATTCAACTCTTAATAAAACTCTAGTTGTGATGACTACAGATGAAGATAGGTCAAGCTATCAGTATACATTTGGCTATAAGTTTAAGTTACCTTCCTGAATTTAAAAAGTACTTCTAAGTACTTTTTCAAGTGTAATTTTTAACTGAGGTGTTTGAAGAACAAAAATGATATGTTTCCGCACTCAAAGCTCAAATCTCGGTTTCCTTTTGATCGCCTGCGGGAGAACAAGACCCCCTTAAACTGCTATTAATTACTGACTGGCATCTGTTGGTTCTCGAACGGTACGAGCCGTGGACCACCCGGGAAGAACCATAACATTCTTACATGACAAAGAATGATCAACCAATAATGTAAAACAAGGTAGGTAATTGCCAACAGGCAATTAAACAAGAATTGCCCTTCACTTAAATTTACAGAGAAATTTTAGCCAAGGATAAGAAGAAAACCAAACATGTTTATAAAACAGTAACGCTTTTTAACGTTTGTATCGCCTTCCGTTATGAGGGGAGAATTTGCCGATTTTCTTAACCATGAAAAATAATCATGGTAACCACCTGTCGATCTGTATTATCGTGCCGAACGCCTTGTAGTGAGAACTACCAGAAGTTGTAAGTAGTTAGAATAACTGACTTGTTTATGATGGAATAGCCTAGGACAACAATGAGCTCATTGACAGCCAATAGGGGTTTTGAATTTCTAAACGAAACATAAGATCATTTGTTTGGAGCCTAGCATAAATACTGGTGTTTTGTAAATTGTTCTTCGGT